CGAGAGCTGACAACGAAAGCACTTGAGCTACACGCCGAGCCATGCTCGTGCGAGGAGGATTCAATAATGGACAGACGCGGTCGTGGTGCTTACATGCGGCGGAGACTCGCAGCCGTCGGGTCAATGTCTGCGCCGTACTTGGCCGCAAGTCAACGAGGAACAGTCACGGCACCTCCGTCGGATAAACTTGTCACAACCATCCAATCCAGCCATGCTCAAGGCATGCACTGCGCCTCTGGCTTACATATCAGGTAGGGAACCATACCGTAGCTATCGCATCGCCCGTGCGGCGTGGTGGGCTCGGGGTGGCATTGTTGGCGGTCTAGAAGGGAGGCGCGCAGGGTTCTCTCGCACGTCAGGGAGTGTGGCAATGATTTGACGGGTAGACGAGCAAAACTCACGTCGTGGCGGATTCGACGGGGGGAGGGGTATACACTAGCAGCACTCTTTCAACCAGGACAGGCTCAAGGGGATGAAAAAACACCCACAGAGCGCGCCGGACCGACGTCGACTTGGATGCCAACGATGGTGACGACTTCAAAAGAGATTTCATGGACGTGGAGCCCCCCGACCACGTACACGACTGTGATCTGGACAGCGTGCACATCGCGATTCGGGACATTCGGAACGCGTTGGACACGATATCGTCAACAGCGCAGCGAGGGTGACGCTGTCGTTGCCTGCCCATTGAAAATTTCCCCCGAGAGAGGGCCCTGGCCCCACGATTCGACTGACGAGGGCCAACACAACGAAGTGAGAGAGGGCCAGCGCCCCCTTCGGTGGACACTTTCATCCAGCGCCGATTTGTTCCTACACAGCGGATTTGTCCGGCGGCGGCTCGTTAGTAGTTGACCATGGCAGCCGCCGTCGACCCGACGGCGTCTATGCCACCCAATGGCATTGTGCTGTTTCATGTCACGTCATAGCTGCCGCCATCGAATTCCTCATGTGGAGAGCCCCCGCCGGGTCATTTCTACTCAATCACACCCAATGCCTCAACAACCCCATCACCTCGTCGCCGCGACACTGCTCGTGTTTGCAGCAGCTGCGCATGCCCACGACGACCACGATGAATCGGAACATGCCGCCG